GGCTCCTGGTAGATCTATTTTTGTAAAACTTGGGGCCACGGGTTTTTCTTGGACGGAAAACTCTAATTTCAACTTAAAATTTGAAAATTCAAAATGACAGAGGTGCCTTAAAATGATATCTTGGCCCCTTCGAAAGTATATGACTTTACAATCGAGATATCTATTCTTTTTCCATTCAGTTTCAAAATCGGTGTGCTTTTATCTAAATTAGATGCGTTCTTCAACTTTTTTGTGGTGAAATTGATTGTTTATTCGACTTGTACTATGACAATGATTATTGTTTATTGTTTTGAATAAAAAAACACAAAAAGTAAAAACCAGAAAAACTAAAAAATAGCTTTGGTTCCTTCTATGATATGATGATAAAATGGAGGTTACTTTCTGATGCACTTCCCATTTTTACCAGATTTCTAGATTTTTTTTTCTTTCATGGAGTGGACAATCAAATAAATGATCCCGAAAATAATCTTCAGACCCCTTCAACGAATATATCTCCCGAGGCTCCGTAGGAATCTGACCGATCTGGCAGCCGAATGAAGCATAAAGCCTTGGAACATACATATAAGGCTACACTGGAAAAAAAAAGAATCTTAAATTAGCCGCCGAGAAGTATTTCTTCTTAAATCAAGAAATTTTGCTGGTTAATAAAAGCTACTTTTTTGCTTGACCCAAGCATTATTTTTCTTGAATCAAGAAAAAGTCAGCTTAAAGCAAGGTAAAGAAAATTCTTGGCGGCAAATTCAAGAATTATCATGCTTGATCCAAGCTACTTTTTTTTTCAGTGTATACAGCACCGGTTCGTTGATAACGAATCAGGGTCAATTCATTGACGTTCAGCGTCGCCGGGCTATTGGCCGAGCCGGGCGGCATCCACGCGGAATGATGGCGAGCGATTGATTGAAAGCCTTCCGCGGAGCGCCTCGCGTTACGGTCGGGCACCGGAGCAGAGCCACCTCAATAAAATTTTCGTGTGCTGCGGGACAGCGCGGCCGACGCTGAAGGCGTTGCAGACCGATAAATCAAACTGACTTTCGTCGCCGTTGTCGATATTGGATTGTGACCGCGCCGCACCGCAAGGAGTGGGTTCGGCGGAGGGCGCTCTCTCAGGAAAGGCGAATGGACGTCCATTAGACGTCCCGTACTCGCCGGCGCTGTTGTCATATTGTGCGAGGCGACGAATTTTTGATCTTGCGACAAAATTTTAGAGGTCAAATTTACCGAGAAATCTCGGTAAAATATTTGAACTTTCTCGGTAATTTTACTGGACCTTGGTAAAAATGCCAATATTTTTTATCGACTATGGTAGAATTACCGAGATAAAATGGCAAAGTTACCGGGAATTGATTACCAATAAAATCGGTATTCTTACCTGAGAAAAAAACAGTAAAAATACCGGTTTTTAGGTAACCTTACCAGTCTTTCTTGGTAAAATTACCAATAATTGGTAAAAAAAAGTGAGATGGTAAAGGTACCAACGGACCTTGGTAAAAATGCCGAGAATTTTTTTCAGTGCACTGTATTCTTTTCGGTTCTCGATTCTGTTTTCAGTGATGGATACATTACAGCGTGCGAGAAAATATTGATAAGTTGATCTAATCACACTTGAGTTGATGATACAGTGAAGAAGGTTTGAATTATTCGATACTGACGGATGGTGAATAATATCGTCAATCCTCTGATGTGTTTTATTACAAGAGCCCTGAGAAGTGTGGATTCATGTAGATGATCGTTCTCTCAACTCAAGAGGCAGTCTTCTCCTCTACATCAGAGAAACGACGATATAATGTTAGATCTGGGAATAATTTCTAACTTTTCAGAGTTTCCTCGGTTTTCTCAAAATATTTTGAGGGCATCCCATGAAAAGTATCACTCATTTATTATCAATCCGACCTATTATTTACTGGCCAGGAAAAGTCAAAATATTGATTCCGTTGTCCCTGATTCGGCACTGTTCTCGATACAAAATGATAAATCCGCAAAAACCAGAAGATCGAAGTAGATTTAGGACTGGAATTTTCCGGCTTTGTACGTACCTTCCTCTTGACAAATGGGAGGATTTTCTTACTTTTGAGAAGATACGGGATCATAAACAAAACTATTTTTTCCGATTCGGCGCACAGTGGATCGAGTCAATTAGAGAGATCGGACATAAAATGTATGACTAAAACTTCAAATTTGGATGTTTATTTCGTCACATTTTGAATTTCAAGGAGTGCTTCTGGAAGAAAATTTTAGTTGGAAACCAATGGAATCCCTTTAAGAACTTCAAAGTTTGTCCGACCTCTCCTATTGACTTGATCCACCGTGCGGCGGGGGAAAAAGCTGAAGCCATTGGATGCGACACGGAAAAATTCGGGAATATCCCTTCAACTTTTGAGACATTTTGTTTTTAAATCACCCTGACTCCTTTTGCTACCCCAGACCAGTGTATTCCCCCTTTTTTAACGGTTCTCCAGGTTTTCTAACCGAGGACGCCGTGGAAAACGAGCGACATTTCATTCAGCAAACAGTCGACGCGGTTCGAATTCCAGAGCCACCTATTAATCCCACTTGATATTTACAAGAGCGACCGAAAGACGGGGTAGCCGAGGGGACGAGATATAATTAGGGGCAGGAAAAGGGGGACGAGGAGCGAGCGGAAAAAAGGTGGAAGGGGTCGATGATGAAGTTCCCAACGACGACTCCGACTGGCCGAGGAGTGTTTTACATTATACGAACAATACGGTAGTTGATTCGGGGAGGCGGGGGCCGGGGGAGGTCGTACATCACAGGCTCCGCGAGAGGGATGACAAAGTTGCTGTCGGAGCAATTACGAAAGTTGATGGATCGGGTGGAAGCGGCGGGCGGCGAGCGTCGGGACGCCAGCGACGCCGCGTCTGCACAGGCCGGGAAGACCGCGAGCGCCACGAGCGGGCCGCAGTCCTCAATTTCCGGCTGTCCACTCGGGTTAAGTGCTCGCCCGCCCCCGAGTCCGCGTGGCCGGACGGACCCGTAGTCTCCGGCATGCAGCTTCCCGCGGGTCCGGGTCCCTCATTGGCCGCCGCCGGACCAACCCGAACGCGCCCCCAGAAACCGAGCCGTTTGTCTCCCATGTTGGAAGCTCACGCTCGCCCGGGCATTCTCCAAAACCTTCCATTCCTTTTGCGATTTAGTCCAGGCCCCTGGTAGCTAAAAATGGAGGCTACCTGGAATTTCGGGTACACAGCGATTTTTTTGGCTTACTTCACGCTTTTTGGGTCGCTGAATCCGAATCTGAAGTTTCCTACCGCGTATCTGGTGAGCATTTTCCGCCATTTTGAAAAAATGGCCTAAAAATGCCTTCTTTGCGGTTTTTTTTTTACATAGCGGCTACGCATGAGAAAAAGTCCCGGATTTAGTTAATGTTTTGAATAGCTGACATAATTTGGAAGAAAATGGTATATGAATATGCTAGGTTTGCTCAAAAATTGAGGAACCTCGGATCTCGGAACTTTGGAACGCTTCGGAACTTGGCTGACCGCGGCGAGCCGGATCGTGCGTTGACGGGTGCGCCGCGAAAACGTGAATGGGCGCGATGTTCACGATGCTGTATCTTCCTCAATTTTTAAGCAAGCCTAGCATATGTATACACCATTTTTTTCCAAATTATGTCAGCTATTCAAAAAATTAACTAAATCCGGGACTTTTTCTCATGCGTAGCCGCAATATAAAAAAAAAAAACCGCAAAAAAAAGTCTTTTTAGGGAAAATGCTCACCAGATACGCGGTAGGAAACTTCAGATTCGGATTCAGCGACCCAAAAAACATAAAGTAAGCCACAAAAATCGCTGTATACCCAAAATTCCAAGTAGACTTACCAGGCGCCTGGACTAATTTCCAACGATCCAGCAAAGTGACGGTCCACGGGAAAGCACAACGAAGATGAAACCCCCAAACCAAGTGTCTGGAACGTATCAACTTATTTTTGGAATTTGGGGTCTTTATTGGGATTAATAAATAATATTGATACAGTTTAGGACAGGGTTATTTTTAACGTTTTTAACAGGGTTATATTTTTCCATTATGCTGCAGCTAAAATTTAAGAGAAGCTCTCCATGTACTCGCCGGAAACAGTATTTCCTCATACACCAATTTTGCAACTAAACAGAAAAAGAATAAATGCCTCGATAATTTTAAAGGGGCCAAGATAGCGTTTTAAGTCACTGTCACCATCTTGAAATTTTGAATTTTAAAAATCTGACTGAAAATTTGACTTTTACTTCAATAATTCCCTCCGGCACCAAGTTTTACGAAAATCGATCGAATAGGAGCCGAGGTAGCATTTTAGGCCGCATCCACCGTCTTGGTTTTTCGAATTCTTAAAATTTGAGCTGAAATTCAAGTTTTCCGTCAAAGGACGCCTCCTGGCACCAAGTTTTACAAAAATCGTTCGAACAGAAGCCGCATATCGTACGATTAGTAGGAGTCTACACAGTAGTAAACGATACCAGTTTAGTTACACACGTTAAAACGCCTGCATTTTCGTCTGATACTGTGCAATACTTCCGAGGTGGAATAGTTGCTCAAAGCGCCTTACAGAGTATCGCTTCGACTTGATGGCAGAAGATTACGACTACCCTTCCGCTATTACACTCCAGCGCGTGCGCAGATTCTCATTTTCTCATCGTCATTAATCACTGATAGTAATAGGTGAAACACATTTACAACTCAATAATATGCGACGTTGCAAGTTTACATTACCTCATGTGCAAGGGGTATGTGTGGTTTTCTCACACACCGTTTTCACATTTTCTCATCACCGACAGTGAGGTAAAAACGTCCATACCTCACTTTGCGATGTTGCAAGTTTTGAACTGCCTATGTTAAGGGTTTAAACCAATACGAAGGCTTTAAAATCTTTAATTTTTCCGATTTCGCGCGATTTGTTCGAGAATTGATAAGAAATAATATTTTGCCGTCTCATTCAAGTCGATTCTGAAGTTGATTCCGAACAATTGTAGATTATAACAAAAAGATCCTTACCTAATTTGAGCTGGTGTTTGCCGCGATACCACACGATCGTCGCTGCTGGCTTCGAGCCGTTCGCCACACATTCTAGGCTTAGTTCTTCGCGTTCTCGAATCTCGATTTTTGAGTGAGAGGTGTGGTTGGTGATCGAAATTGAGATAGGAGGTGCTGCAACAGAAAAATGATCAGACATATTATAACACGATTACGAAGAAAACACAAATAAATGTTGGTCGATCAAAGGACAAAAAAAGGTCATTCCAAAATAAACTTGAAGGTACGTTTGCCACACAATTTTGGACTTCAGAAAATAAACGAACTTGACTTAACAGCCAAACGCAGACGTTTAACGAGAATCATCAGAGCAGAACGATATTGAATGAGTAAAAGAACCGTGCTAAAACGGTCGCGATCCATTGTTGGTCAGTGGCATGGGATAAATGTCATGCGATAAAGCGATAGATCTGTCATTTAAACCTACGGAAAATCAACCTATCGATAAACAAGGTGTTCGATACGAACACCTCAATAATCGATTCTTCACCATAGCAGGGTGTCTAGTATTTTTTAATTTTGAAAAATCCTGATATTTTCCTGATTTTTCCTGATATTTTATAAAAAATTCCTGATATTTTCCTGATTTTTCTCGACTCCTGGCACGGTAGGTAAAAGGCATTAAGGCTTTCTCCGCTGAGATTTGCGTGGGAAAAATTCCTGATAAAACGTCTGATTTTTCCGATTTTCCTGATTTTTTCCTGATCGGCCAATATTCCTGATATTTTCTGGTTTTTCCTGATGCTAGACACCCTGCATAATTTCAAGAAAAGAAATATCAATAGTTCATCATTTACACCTCCCCACTGTTGTTGGTGATTTGGATTTTTTTTGGCTCAGAGAAAAAAAATTGATGAGAAAATATGTACTGCAGATGCCTTATCCAGTGGGTCGAGTCAGGTTTTTCATTCGGAGCCTTCCCTCTTGCGATACGTTTCTATCCTCATCTGTATGAGCTCGATGTAACGACAGTCAATGACCTGGCAAGATGAAAATCTGAGGTAGAATCAATTCCGCTGTAGGTGTTCCATAGAACGGAGGAGAGAGAGGGATGAACCCGTTAACACAGCGAAAAACTCGGCGGAGCGGGTCGATGCAAAGATCATATGTGCTCCGAAGAAAAAGGAGGAAACCCTATGCGTAGGCATGAAAGGAGTGTCAATGGGTCGTTCTCATCCCCCGGACTGCGAGAGGGGATAGGGGGTGGACGACTGCTGTCGGAGATAGCAAGGAAGATTGATTCTTTCTTCGCTGACTCTGTGTACCTTGTGGCATGCTCCCGTGCTGAGGAAAAACGACGTATGGGCCTTCAGGCGTTGCCAAATTTCCTTTCATAAAACGCGAATTTCCTGGTTTAATAATGAATATTTTCCCACCAATTTTTCAGATAATTTTGTTCGCAATTTCACCTAAGGATTCTGAAAATTCAAAGGAAAAATATCCATGACTATCCTCAAAAATGAACATTTTACTAAAGGAAATTTGACGACTCTCGAATGTCCATACGGCGTTTTTTCTTAGCGCGGCAGTGCAGCACGATGGCGATGACTTGAGCAGGGAGCAAAGGTCGTTTGCACTCGACAGCAAAGATCAAGGGGGACGTTAAAGGCCCCCCCCCCCTCGCCGCCCGTTTCCCGCTCAGCTGAGAGCGCAAAAACCGTCGGGAGATTTTTCTCTTCTTTCCGCACAACGATGGGCTTCCGCGAAAAACATGTTTGATAACTACTATCACTCTCACTCTTGTTTTCCCCACCTTCCCCACCTTGTTCCACCACCTTTCCCGTGCACGCCCTCCTCTTTTTTGTCGAAGACGTGCCCCTCTCGCTCTCTCCTTCTCTCCGGAATCTCCACGACGTCGGGATCCGCGTGAAAGCTCATTCCTTTAAGATTAATTTCGTTGCTACACGAATGACACACGGAGCTGGAGAGAGGAAATTTATCTCTTCGATATTTTAGTTTTTCACACGGACGATTCTGTGAGAATCCCTTCGAGGCTGAAATTTCATCCGAGGATCGAAGGAGTTCGAGAGAAGTTTCACATGGATTGCATTTTGCAAAAAGGAACTAGGAGCATTACAATATTGCTAAGATTGTGCAGCTCCTTTTTTCTTGGAAGGAACACCTGATTATCTCAAAAATAATTCTATTTTACTCACTAAAAACTGTAAATTTCGGACTAAAATTACCATGTAAATTTCATATTTTTTCAGCATATAAATCTTTTTACCGCATTGGGTGAAGTTGCACAATCTTAGCAACATTGCAATGCTCCTGGTTCCTTTTTGCAAAATGCAATCCACATGGAGTCTGAAATCACCTAGGTTTGATTAAATACGCGAGGACAATGACACTTCGATTTGCAACGATGGAGAGGAATGTAAAGGTTGGGAACATTGTCCCTTTCTCTTTGAGTAACTGATTGCAAACCGCGGTCTCGAGAATCGGAGGCGACGTTACTTCGACAAAATTCAGGCCTCATTTTTAATTGTAAGAAGAATTCCGACTAAATTCACGTGAAATTTTGCTTGGTCTTGGCTCTTTCAACACTTCCGAGAAGACTAGGTTGGATAAAATACAAGGTTCGACTTTCATCACGTGAAAAAATTACTGCTATATTCTCCAATTGACTCTTGTCGACCTAGTTAGTAAAACACTGACGTAGAAACTTATTTCATCAGCGGGCCGTTTATTGAAATTGAGGGACAAAGCGAAAGACAAAGTAGATACAGGGAATATGAAGCGATCCTATTGGTGGATGAGTGGTTTCTACAGACTAAGACATGAGGAAATGATGGACTAAGTAAGGGATCTTTCGTGGGCTGCCGTTTGTTAGTCCACCTACCTTATTTGTCCATTGCAACCACCCGCTTCCACCAATAGAATCATTTCATACCCCTTTTGTCTTCTTTTTCTACAGCTTTGTCTATCAATTTCAATAACTGGCCCGCAGGTGGGACTTAACCTGTTCTATTTCGATGACATGCAAAAAATCTAGGGTTAGTAGCGGTTTGGATTTTTGGGAAAACTAAAGAGGAGCAAACATGTGTCACGGGTTAAAAATAACGCCCCTCAACATGTTGCAAAACCGCAACTTCGACAAATTGTAACAGTCTGAATCTGAACTGCGACACGCCGTGTCTCTGAGAACGGTGAGCTGCAAGTTCGCCTTAATTGAATCTAAATTTACGCACCACACTTTCAAGGGTAAACAAAGGGGTGTTGGGAAGGATTATGAAGAAAATTTACTGTGTCCGGGTTGGAAAGATGTTTGTCCAAAGGTTTCTCAATTATGGATTGGCAACTCGGCGCCGATGCAAAGAAAACAGAACCGAAAAGAGCACAGAGGCAAAACCTCGCTTATTACTCCTCTGGAAAATTTTTCCTCCAGGTTGTCTTCCTTTTTTCGCCCTAAAAAGGAGCAAGACAGAGGCCACGGCTAAAAATGACGAGTGCGCAATTTATCTGCCGGAACACGTGCGTCGCAGTGGCGTGGCGTGCTTTTCGATCTATCGATATTTCCCCACTTGAAGTCGTGGTAAATAATCGATTATTAAGGTGTTCGCTGCGAACGCCCTGTTCATCGATACTTTTCCATAGGTTTAAATGGCATAACAATCGATATATCGCAAAGTGCGGCGCGGCGTGGAGATAGAGAAACCGCCCGCTCCGCGCCTTAGAAAGGAACGGAGCGGAATCGAAGAATCTTAGTGGAGAACTGTTGAATGGCGAGACGCAAATTGACTCACAAAAAAGCAGACGTAAGAGGAGCAGGAAACACCGGGGAGAGGAGAATCGACAAGGGAACAAAAATACGATAGAAAAACGAGAGAGTCAATTGATTCGGAGCGAAATTTATAGACACATAAATACATTTAAATGATTCGGGACCGAAAAGACAGCGATTGAGGGAGGAAAGGGGACCTGCCGGGCGGGAACGGGGGCGGCTGGCGGTTGGGAATTGTTATACACTTGTCACTTACTTCAGTCATCCACGCGCCTTTGCGCCGCAGCGTCCTTCCCCCCCCCCCCCCCCCCCCNGATGCCCTTACTTCCAAGAGTCGGTGACGTTTTACTCTCACGTCTTCACACTACCGTTAATGCCATATTTCTACTTTTGTTCACTGACTGTGCGTTCTCCGGAGAAAAAAATGCGAACACACTTGCGCTTTTTTCTTTCCTCTTCTTTCTGTTTTCAAATAGCCCGCCCTCACTTAAAAAAAAAAAAAAAAAAAAAAAAAAAAAAAAAAAAAGTAGATTTTACCGCACTCTGACACAGTGATACAAGTATGATAATAACCACCAGATGGTACCCACTTTATGGTAACATTCACCATATTATGGTAAGTATCACCAGAGTTTTGGTAAATACTGCTATAATTCTGGTTATTTTCACTAAACAATATCACTGCGTAAAAAATCAAGTAGACTTACAGTAAATGTTACCATAATTTTTTTTCAGAGGAAAACTTTGTGGATTTAACTAATCTAGGGTGTAAAAAACACACATCTCATAAACTGTGGACGGGAACATGGACAAATTTTGAGACGTGAGGCGAACTCATGACCTTCGAAAAGAGACCCTGAAAACTAGAGGGTTACTAAAAGTTAGAGGTGAGGAAAATCGCATGATTAAGTATTACGGTAAGTAATAGCTTTCCAATTTGTGCGAAAATATTTAAATTTTTGAAATAATGAATATTTTTTACCTAAAGTGTTCGACTTTTAGGACGTTGTAATAAAATTATCCAGAGTTCCATGTATGAATATCGATTTTAACTCTATCTTTCAGCCATTCCTGTGGCGAACATTCAAAATTTCAATTCCGATAGCGTTCCTGATGTTTATATTATCTGGTTAATTGAAGCTTTCTCCTGATGATTTGAAGTTTCAAAAAATTCATTCAAGAAGTCTATGATAGCGACATAGCGCTCGGTCAGATTAGACCGGTAAATTTGAAAACGAATGATCCCTAAGCGGTAGAGGAAGAGCTCTGGAATAGATTCCCTGATTTTTTCCTGATTTTCCTTGTAAATTTTCATTCCGTGATGAGTCCCACCTTTCCCCATTGACTTCAGAGTCATATTGAAAATCGAAAGATACGACGCAATTTGAGA